TCATACGTTTGTACAAATACAATCTGGCCGATGAGGTTTTACAAAATCAGTCCACTTTCTACATCGTGACACAAATAGTTCCAGTTTGTGATTGACAGACGATGTTATCCTCTGTGACTACCCGATTTGCACGTCTGCCCGATTTGCACTGCTCAAGCTCGAGTTGGCCCGCCATGTTGGACAGCTATGTACGGCAAACAGGACATTTGACGTCCGTACTGATCTAATAACAGTTTTGTTCTTGAATCAACTTTTTTTTAATGAAAAGTCATTTCCCTTTTCCAGGAATCTCAACAGAAAAAGTTTCTCCGGACTAATACATTTCTAAGTTAACAATTAGATATGAATTATGAATGCCATAAATGATTGCATACATTTACAGTGTATTATTGTTCCAGTGTGAAGGCTGTCAATCAGAAGTTAAATCCATTTACGATACGATACGATATACTTTATTGTCCCCGTAAGGAAATTTGTTCTGGACTCCATCCTGCAGTGCATACATGTACATATACAAACATAGTGGACATTAAGAGACATACACATATCATCAGTCATACACCGTTTGAACAAACACAATACACAGACGTACATACTGACAATGGCGACCTATTGCACAACCCTCATGGCCAACATTTAAAAAGTACATTTCATTACATTTGACTACATATCATTTCATGTGAATGTTAAGAAGCTTAATGGACATAGGTAGGAATGAGTGCTTATAGCGGTTCAGCCTGCTCCTGGGAACCCTGAATCTTCTACCAGAAGGTAGGAGCTGGAATTCTGGGTGGAGTATGTGGGTGGGATCAGACACCATTCTTTTTGCCTGTCTGATAATCGACTGCTCGTATATGTTTTGGAGAGATGGGTGTTTTTTAACCCCCATCATTTTCATAGCAGTCTGTACCAGGCGAGCGATCTGTGACTTTGACTGCACTGTCAAGTTACCATACCAGGCAGTGATACCATACCTCATGATGCTCTAAAACAATAACTCATCTCTCTCGTTCAGATTAATGCGGTCGGTTTGGTTTTCTTCTTTGCGAAACGCCGCTTTGTCAAATGTCCTGTTTGGGTTGCCGTACGTAGCGGTCCAATATGGCAGACCAACTTGCGCAGTGCAAATCAGGTAGACACATCCTCTCCATTTTGTAAATCAGGGATAGTGGTGGTCTAATGGATAGTGAGGTGGGCTGAAGATCGGAAGGTTGTGAGTTCAAATCCCGCCAGGAACACCACCACTAGTGCGCCCTTGAGTAAGGCACTTAGTCCTTAGTTACTCCAGAGAGAATGTCCCTGTAAGTCGCTTTGGATAAAAGCGTCAGCTAAATGAAATGTAATGTAAATGTCCACTTTAATATCCATCCATGCGTTTAAAGTTGGGCGATCTGCTGATAACCACTTCGCTATGGTACTTTTTCAAGAGTAATATCTCTATCAAAACAAATGCATGATTATTTGTTGTTTATATAAAGTTTGTTGTTGTTGTTTCTGCAGGACTACTGCGCCACCAAGTGGTCGACCCTGAAACAGCGTCTGGACAACAAGCTTTTCTCTCAGCAGGCCGACATCAGCCGACTCAAGTGAGTTCATCTCTTCTTCAACAACGTTTAAATTATGCACAGCTTTCATTTGATTTACTGTCAAATATGGGTTTTATTTTATTAAAATGTTTTATTAGTCTATTTGTTGAACATGTCAGAAACAAAACAAACAACAATAATAATAATTATAATCATAATTATGTCAAAGAGAAAGAGAGAAAAACGATCAAGGTACAAAAAAAACTAATAAATGCGTTCTCAAATAGTCTGTCATGTTCAACAGGGGCAAGAAAGAAGATCTGGTCTCTAGTGAACATTTATCTTGAAAATAAATGATTAGGTCATCGTCTTCAGCATCCGTGATGTATTGGATTCATTGTTTTAAACAAATATATATTTGTTCTAGCTTATTTGTTTACTTCACTTTCAAATAGGGAACATATTCTGAGTTAGAAATACCAAATGTTTCGTTATTTTGACACAATTAACCCTTGTAGTTTCATGTCTCGATCATATTTGTTAGGTGTTATTATGGGGGAATTACTATTCTTGTGGTACTGCTACTGCATATTGAGCATGTTAAGACCCACTCATGTACAACACCTTCCTTACTTGCAATAAATAAGCACTAATTAGAGGGTTATTGAGCTAAAACTCTCAACTAATGGCCTAGTACTTGTAGAATAAGGCATTAATAAGTGTTTTATTATTACTAATAAAGAGCCAACATACTAATAGTGCTAATATGCATGTTAACTAACAACTAGTTGAAATATGTGTACCTTAATATAAAGTGTTACAAAACAACCAAAAGGAAATAACTTTTACAATGACAAGAAATAAGCCTCACTTCGCAGGTTCTGCTCATAACCATTCATGTTTTCTAAATAATAGTTTTAATTTAAATAAACAACAATATTTCAGCTCATCAGTTCAGTTATTCCACAGATCAACACCTGTTGTTGTGATGCAGTGAAAGCTTTCTGCGTGTGGCAGCATGCAGTTTCTCGTCATGTTAAATCAGTGCAAAACAACACGTAGTTTATTCAGTTAAAATATGCGCATTATCATTTCAACTTTCAACACATCACACATAGTTTTTTGATAATTACAGCAAGTCAGGTGTTTTTGAGCTGTTAAGCACGTAATGTATTCACAACCTCATCAATTCAAACTACCTTTACACCTGGAAACAGGAGCAAATATTTTAAACTCTAGAGGCGAAAGCGGCTTAAATATTGTTTTATAGTTGTTTTTATTTATAGGTTTGATTTAAGGTTTGTTTACCTGTCAGCAAAAACAGCTACTAGCGAGCCAATGGCTGTGAAATTGTTCAAATTGGTTTGTAAAGCGTCAAACATTTTGTAATATTTTTCACTTTCTAAATATAAACCAGGCTTAAAAGAAGTTTTGTGCAGGGCTTTTTTTTTTAAAGAGTTAACACGAAGCTCGTCAGCTGAGTGTGAATATCTGGAGAAAGCCAACTGTTCTGCCAATTAACAACAGACATGTAAATGACTTCACTAACACCAACGTTTAAAGCTCACATTTAGCACCAAGAAAGAGTCCATTTGCATGAATCATTTCTCGCTCTTCATTTCCCTGTTTTAAGGAACCAACTCATCTTCACAGTAATCATCAGAAACATGCTCTGGACTTAGTATTTCTACGTTTTTTCAGGATTGTAGTGCAGTGCAAAACAACACAAACTATCTCTAGTGGTTTTTTTAAGGCACAGTTTCACGTTACAGCTTCAAATTTGTGATTTTTTTTTTATGGTGACTTTTCAATAATGAGAAGCTGCACTGTGAGAACAATGACATTTAAACTATCCATCTGAAGTAACCAGGATAAAGTACTACATTACAATAAGTGCATTCGACCAAGAAGATACAAACTTGAAGAAAACAGAATCATATAAGTACCTCAGAGGCCTGTACTACAAAGCCGGTTCAACAGACCCTGGATATGTTTGAGTTACCCGGTTTACCTAATCCAAAACAAACGCACTCTCGCTAAGCGGTCCTACGACGCTGGTTATCAACTCGTTCACTCAAGCCAGCTTTGTCCTATCTAGTTAGGTGCGCGTTCACATAAAAGGGGCGGGGTTAGCAACATTCGACCAATCACAAACATGGAGAAGTGTACTGACAGCGCAGCGTCATACTTCCTGAATGAAAAGTGAACTTTAATATTAGTCAAATATGAAGAAGTTAAACTTTAAACATCCATGACTTAAACACTTTATCCAGGATAAAAGCCACATAGCTGCACCTGCAAGGTGAATACAGCTGGTAACAGAGAAAGTGTTTGAATGCGTACATTAACAGGTTTATGAAATCACTGCCCCGTCCAAGACACGATCTGACTTTAATTACATTTGACTCGAGTGTTTCGTCAACTTAATGTGTTGCTTAAAATAATACTTCTGCATACAGTATGTGACACTGTGAGTGTTGCACGGCCAGATACGGCTCAGCTGACTCAGATAAGGAAATATATGATACATTATGATGTGATATGATATGAATGATAATGGGACACATCGACGTCTGCACTCACAGTGCCGCAGACTGTACGTAATGTTACTCTGGTCAGCAGGCAGTGCTTTCACTGAGTTGATCTCTTAGCCTGCCACCTAACCTGCTCCGGAGCAGGTTAGCCGCTCAGCATAAGTTACCATGGAGATCTAGCCTGCTAAAAAGAGAACCAGCGTCGTAGGACCGGAAACCCAGAGTTTTCCCTGAAGTTACCTCGCTAAGCGAAAATCCGGCTTCGTAGTACAGGCCTCTGCTCTCTGCTGCATTTTAACCTGCCATCTGATTGGGTGTTGAATTTTCACTATCCTCCTTTTAATGCACAATTTCATCGTTGTACCTTTTAACCTAAATGTATTTATATATGTTTACTCTATGCTATTTTTAGTTTGTTTTTATGTCTTTTACTGGTAACTGTATTCTGTGTGATATCAATTTTCTGTGAAACGTCTATGTGAAGCACCTTGAACTGCACTTGCTGTATGAAAGGTGCTATACAAATAAAGATTATTATTATTATTAATATTATGACCCCCCCCCCCCCCCCCTCTCCCCCTGCTGCTGTTTCCCAGGTATCAGTGCTTTAAGTCGGCCTGGATGTTCGAGGTGCTGCACTCCGGCTTCAGATTCCCCCCCGACTACCGGAGCCTGAGGACGGCTCAGCTGGTTTATGATAAGGAGGTGCAGTGGACTCTGGGAGCCATTCTGTTCAAAACACGCTTCCTGCCCCTCAGGTAACACACACACACACACACACACACACACACACACACACACACACACACACACACACACACACACACACACACACACACACACACACACACACACACACACACCATGTATACATCACTTCAGGGGACATTACATTGACTTACAAGCATTTCCTGGAGACTTATCCTAACCTTAACCAACACATGCCTAACCCTAACCAAGTATTCACCCTAAAATTAATGATTCCCCTTATGGGGACCTCCATTTTGTCCCCATAAGGGAGGAGAGTCCCCACACGTGACTGTGTAAACAGATTTAGGTCCCCACAAATATAGTAATACTAGGACACACACACACACACACACACACACACACACACACACACACACACACACACCTCCTCTGCTCCATAGCTTCTCTTGGATAAATGGACTTAAACTCACACTGAACATTTTACATTTATATTCAATGTAATATTCCATTCCTGACACACTTAATGTATATATAATATCCTGCTTTATATTTTGTTCCTGTACATTTGTATTCAACAGTATTTTTTAAACCCGAGTATCTGTACTTGTACTTGAGTAAATGATGTGTGTACTTTGCTATCTCTGCTGTGTACCCATCCTAGCGCTAGGAGCAGTGGGCATGCATCTTATTGAAGAATAACATATTGCTTTTGTGCATTATAGAACATATGAATACAAGTGGTTCATGTAGTTTCTCTGTGGTCCTTCTCCTCCTCCAGGGACCTCCAGCAGGAGACCCTCCGTCAGAACCACCCCAGCTGGCTGCGCTCCTCCTTCCTCTACAACCACCACCTGTTCTCCCTGTGTGTGCTGGTGGTGGTGCTGGCCATCCTGCTGTACATCCTGCGTCTGAGGAGGATCCACCAGAGGGAGCAGCGGCAGAGCGAGACCCTCAAGCTGCTGTGGGCCGAGGAGGGGGAGGCGCTGCTGGCCTGAGAGGGGAGGGTACAACACCTGAACACTCATTAGTGTGAGAACAGAGGGACCTGGAATTACTGCCCAGCTGTGGGACTGGGACACTTGGGATGACCAAACTCAAAACCTAAATTGATCCATTTTAGGGGAGAATATGATATGATTTCCCCCCTAAATGTAAACATAGTAGGAACCTGGAATTACTCACCAGCTGAGTGTCCAGATTTTAGTTTTTACATGGACAAGGACACTTAAACGAGCCTGGGAACCAACTCCACTTAAATCGATCCATTCTAGGGGAGAATATGATATGATTTCCCCCTAAATGTAAAAAGACATTATGAGTACAGAGGAACCTGGAATTACTCACCAGCTGACGGTGTGACTGGGCCAGATCTGTTTTCACATTGAAAAGAACATGTTTAATGACCCTGGGAATCAAACTCCACTTAAATTGATCAATTTTAGGGAAGAATATGATATGATTTCCCACTTAAATGTAAAAATAGTACAGAGGAACCTGGGATTACTCACCAGGCTAGAGTGGATTTGTTTTTACATGGACAAGGACAATGAGCCTGGGAACCAAACTCCATTTAAATCGATCCATTCTAGGGGAGAATATGATATGATTTCCCACTTAAATGTAAAATAAAAAGACATTGTGAGTACAGAACGTGAGTACAAAGGAACCTGGAGTTACTCACCAGCCGACGGCGTGACTTCGCCATTTTTTTTTTTTTTGCGTGGAAGAAGGCTCTTTAATGATGCTGGGAATCAAACGCCACAGTTTGTTCTTCAATCTTGCAGCTTTGAACAAAGAGCCAATCACCGACTGGAATAATGTTCTCTGTGTTTCTTCGGAAGAGGAAGAGAATCAACTTGAAGCAACGGGAGTATCGTAAGTTCTCCACCAATATCTCCCTGATCTGAAGCCATGTGTGGGTAAATGTCTGACTCTTGAGCAGCAGAAGATGGTAGGATTATATATTTCTGGAAGACTGTTCAACGTCCATTTAGGAAGCTGTCTTCAGGCACATAGGAGAGAAAGAAATGCAATGAAGTGTTTCTATAGGGGCCAAATGTTTCTATAGCTTTCCATGAAAGAAGTATACATGGGAGGAAGGTCTTTGAACGCCTGCAGGCAGCGTGGCTCATCCTGATGACTCTCAGGATGTTTCATCTAGGTCAGTTAATCATGTCTGTACAGGACCAGATACCTCTTAGACAAATCTCGCTGTACTTTGATCTCACGGTCGATGTGTTTCTGTTAATGTGCATGAGTTGGTCGTTTGATGGTTAAAAATAGGGTTTATTGTCAGTCTAACACTAATTTATTCAATATAACTTTACATTTCGGTTTAATTACCTTTTAAAGACATCAGGTTTTATTTTGTTAACTTTTTCAAGACATTCCTACCTAGTTATGATAACTGGTATTAATTACAGTTACTCAGTACTTGAGTAACCCTGTTAGCTTTGGTTTGTTTCATTTGATGTTAACGGAGCGTTTCAAAGTGGTATCATGTTGCCGTCATTATCACAAAAACCACCCGGCCTCTTTCTGTTTTCTCCAACGTCTGCTACTAGCGTAACACTTAGCAAAACAATGATTCATTTCCAATGTTGCTCAGAGTATCCTGTCAACACGCTATTTATTTCCCTCAATGCAAAAACACAGCTGCTAACCTTTATGCAAATGAATGCATGATGACGTGACCAATAAAGAGCGTACGAAGCTGATGATGCTCACTACTTTCCAGTGGCGAGCCGTCAGGGCCCTCTAGGCCCTCTGTGAGGGCCTAAGATATTCCAAAAAATAATATTTAAAAACATTAAAAAAAAATATATTTTTTTAAATATATATTTTTTTAATATTATTTTTGTTATATTTTTCATTAGTTTTACCGAAAAAAAACTTGATTTAATAAAATAACATTTCCAAATAAATAAATCCTTCGAATCTGCCTGTTCAGTCTCTGTTTGAATGTCAGTTACTATAGCGGGCCTCTCTGCGATTCACAGAGGACCCGCTATAGTAACTCAACAAGAGAGTAATGTCAAATGACAGTACAATTGACCAATCATATCTTCCCTCTAAATGGGTGGGTTTTATTATCGCGGACTTTATGACGAGTTCCGCCCGCTGTGAAACTGTTCTTGTTTCCATAGCAACAACAACTTCCTGTCAACAGCGTGAACTCGCCTTCAAAATAAAAGCATGCCAAATTACACTTAAGACATACAACTGCAATGAAAGTAACAAACACAATGCAATATCATTTTCAATGTCAAAGAACACAAATTGGGTTCACAGGTGTTGTTTTGTGTGGTAGAGGGTCGCTGTCATTGATGGGCCGTTGTTTTGATATTCCGCTGAAGTATACGCTGTGACGTAATAACGTCTTTTTTTCGAGGGAAGGGGTGGGGGTCAGAGGGCCTAGGTATAAAGCTCACGGCTCGCCACTGCTACTTTCATTGCAAAAAAACACGTTTTTATCGCCACCTTAAAATGTTGATGTTGTTTTAGCTAAAGGTGAAGGAGACGCATCTGACGGTGTAGAACTGAGCCTGAGTGGAGGCGTGTGGCGCAGTGGGTTAGTGTGTTGGTGTTCGGATCAGGTTCAAACCCCACTGCAGTCAGCATGTCGTTGTGTCCCTGAGACACTTCACCCCAAATTGCTCCTGTGAGGATTGTCCACAGTATTGAGTATGTAAGTCGCTTTGGATAAAAGCGTCTAACAAGTAACATGTCATGAAAAACTGAGCCAGAAATGTCCCAAAGTGGCCACCGTACAGGAACAAATCTTACATTCAACAACTTAGTTTGAGGCTATTTAATCTCGGGTGCTTCAGATTTGTCTAGATTGTATCTGTCTTACTCTTTCCACATGTGACCTTTGAGCGTTTCCTAACAGACTTAAACACGACATTCCCTCGTTCACGCTAAATAAAAAGCAAAGGAGACGAAGCTTTTTTTCTCTTAGTGTTTGAAATCCCCTTTTTTTTTTTTTAACCACTACTTAGCATCTGAAATGTTTCCCCACCGTCAGTGACATCACCCTGAGAGCAGCTTCCTCTCCTGCCGTCAGAGATACAGTTTCTCCTCCTGGGATGGTTTCCTTTCGTCCGATGATGTCAGCGTCTCTGATAACCGTCTGCCGCTTTTGTTCCTGTCGAGACCTCCGATGTTTATCAGAGGAGAGACGCAGCCAAGAGGCTTTTTAGATGAAATAAGCCCAGAGATCTGCTCAGTGTTTGGATGAAGGCGCTGACAGCTGACCAAAGGCTCCCGGAGGCTCTGTTTAAACTGATTTGAATGCACGAAAAAGCGTCAAAATGGATGAAAAGAGTGCGGATAAAATCAAAATACGAGTCAAATGTCTAAAAACGGTTTTCAAATAGAGCCGTTCATGAGGAATAAAGCCTTACCCTTAAATAAAAGGGGGATATTTTAATCTTATTCTACATCTTAATGTGTTTCAAAGCTGTGAAAATGAAGCCACTATTTTTGACTGACCATGACGATGCAAAAAAAGTGGGAGGTATTTTTTTTTTTATGTCCAAAGAATTCAGAATTTCTCATTGCTTTCTGATTTGAAAGTGGGGCATGACTCATCGAACAACATGATGATGATTCCCATTGTTTTAAAATGTGTGTAATATGATTCCTCTTGTGCTGAATGTGTCCTCCACACACACTCTCTTTGTTCGTCCTGACACAGATGAGTTGTGACACGTCTGTCAAACTGTCAGTATGTGTTTGTGACCTTCCTCTCCGCCTCTCTACCGTAACAAGACTTTCTGAATCCAGAGTAGCACACATCTCACAGCAGAAATGTAAACGGTAACAAAGTGATTCCTGTTTCACTTCCTCCTGATTTCTGCTCCGATGTTTCCCTCCTGACTCGGGACCAATATCTGATCGATGGGCTTTGTGCAATGTTTCACTTGTATTCACTGAAGGGACTCTTGTCTTTGATGTTTTGATTTAAGGTACCTTTTAACAGATATGTGAATATAAAATAAATCCATTAAAGAATCCTTTTTGTAATAAAATCATGTCTTTGAGTTGATTTACGCCCCTGTATTATAATTATAGTATAATGCATTAATGTGTAAAGATCTGTCATTTTTAAACATTTCCAAAGCAGCTAGAAAGTGGCTAATTTCAATCTATATATAAATCTGCATATCTTATTGACTTCTGTTATATGGAAACAAAATATGAATTGTTTTATTTTGTATAAATCATTTAAATCAAAGGAACTAGAGGTGATGTAGAGAAGTAAAAAGTAAAATATCAGCTTCCAAATGTGATTGATAATGTGGGTCAAATGGAAATACACAAGTGAAGTACCTGAGAAATGTACTAGTACTTGAGTAAATGTATTAACCTGGAATAACTATCCACATATTATAATACCATTAAAGGGAAGTGAAAACACATTTTACATTTTGTTTCAGGGCTGATCTGACGCTCTAAGATGGATTTAGTTGAGGGCAGAGGAAAGTAACTAAGTACTAATACTTTTACTTGAGGAACATTTTGAATGCAGTACTTTTACTTGTTACAGAGTATTCCTATACTCAGGTACTTCTACTTCGAGTACTGCTACTTTTACTCAAGTACAAGATCTGAGTACTTCTACTTTTACTCAAGTACACGATCTGAGTACTTGTACTTTTACTCAAGTACAAGATCTGAGTACTTCTACTTTTACTCAAGTACACGATCTGAGTACTTCTCCCATAAAAACAATCTTGAGGTGAATTATTTCCAGCTTCTAAAATAAGCATTAACCCGAAACCCTCCTTCTTCCTGCTTCAAATTCTTCAGGAAGAAGTTATTTAAAAGGCTTCTGGCTGCTGCAGTGCCTCTGTGTGGCCTGAGGGTGGCGCTGTGCAGCATTCATGCACTAATGATCCCAAAATATACATGCAAATCCTGCAATTGGTGATAAAAAAGCAACACCTTTAATTGGTAACGCTGCATCACAATTATCACCAGAAAAAACAGCTTTTAAATAAATAAATACATTTAATTTATATAGCACTTCTCATCTGCCAAGACAAATCTCGAAGCGCAAGTCAACATGTTCTAAAATGGTTTCTTAAGGCGGTTTTTTTGTTTAATAATAATAATAATAATAATAATAATTTGAAAAAGGATCATAATGAAATAATAATCAAGATAATTAAAAATAATCTTAAAATTAATTATTATAATAAAAATACAATAATAATTATAGTGATAATAATGAAATCATTAAAATAACGATTATTGTAAAAATAATATACAGGGTTCTTACAGTCATTAAAAGCCTGGAAAAGTCATGGAAATTCAAAATGCAAATTCCAGGCCCTGGAAAAGTTATGGAAAACAATATTTTTCCCAAAGTTTTGGAAAAGTCATGGAAATTTAACTACATTTGCATCAAATATAATTTATATTTTATCTAATCGAAATAGTAATACTATAATGATAATAAATACTGTATCGTATAGTAATGAAACGTAAAATGGCATTTAACTGACGAGGTATTTTGCTGGTGAGAGATTTTAGTTGCTTTAGCCTGTAGAAGCTAGTAAGCCTATTTGATTTGATTTAGATAGGCACAACATGTTTCATATGCAGACCTTATTTTCCGGTTCCATGTTAAAATACAAATGTTTCAGTGGTACCGCTGAGAAAGAGTAATATTTTTGGTCATGGAAAATGAGGTAAAGGTCATGGAAAAGTCATTGAAAATCATTGGTGAAAAAGTGTATGAACCCTGAATATAACAATTATAATAAAATCAGTAATTATAGAATAATAGGAATACAAATAATGAAAATAAAACAATAAAATATTAATAATTATTAGTGAACTTGTAAAATAAAGAAACACGGCACAGTTTATTTTAAAAATATACTTTTAATACAACAGCTGCATATAAATATTAAAATATACATTATACAGGTGTACAGTACACTCACACAAAACCAAAACAGAAAATATTAGGCTTCTATTTGTACGGCACTTCTTGTATTTTTTTTGTATTTTTCTACTTTTTTCTTTTGAAAGGTTACTTACTGACGAAGGAGTTGTACATAAAGATGTGTTAACAGTCCGTAGTTTAACTGTGGTTACGGAGAGACGGACAGAAAAGGGCTAAAGGTTTGCTGTACATTATATGACATGTTAATGTGGAATGTTTGCTAGTCTCTTTCCTCACTAAAGACCCAGCAGGATGTGATTATTCCCTCGTTATGCTCTCCACAGGAAGTCTGCGTTTAATACCAGAGTATCGTTTCATTCAGACATCGGGGCTTTTACTCTGAAAACCACTGACTCGGTTTTGGTTTAATCAATGAGGTGTTATTCCCTCTCATGTTTCATCATTACTTTTGAGATACTGAAGCATCTGTGATTCAAATCTATGGCTGATATTTAAAAAAAGCAGAAGCCTGTTTTCCACTCAGAGGATGCTAGCACCATGTAGCACACACCGCTACATTCAAATGGAGATGCATTGTGTGTCTGAAGATTAAATTATTCAATGAGATGCAATAATGAGTTTTAAAGGTGCTGGTGTTTGGATTTTGTGAAACTCGGACAGAGCTATGCTAGCTGTTTCCCTCCGTTTCCAGTATTTATGCTAAGCTAAGCTAGTTTAGCATATCTGACTGTAGCATCAAATGGACATTCATGTGCCCATTGTTCGGCCAATCATCTGGTCTATAACATGTCATTAAATAGTGAAAAATGT